AAATGTTAAAAAGATACAATGTAAAATCAGCTATGACTTCTGCGTACACTTGTATGTTTCTTTTTTTGAAGTGTATTGAATTCCTTCCTATCTTATTGAAGATCCTTTATCTCTTTCCATTAATAAATTTCAAGCTTCTTTCATTTGGTTTGGCAAAAGAGGCTATGAAGGTGCGGTGCAGGGTACGGCTTACTACTTACTACTTACTTTAGTATAGGACTAGAAACTTATCATGTACACTGGTAAATATAGACTAGCATAAGGTTTGATTTGTCTGGGTTAATAATTCATGATCATCATTCAAACTTGTGGATTCTAGTAATTAATTTGCATACCACACATAAACGGTTGATGATGAATGCATTGGATTTGGATAGTAATATTGAGGATCTGAAGGTAGGATATGGAGAACATGAATGCCAATTTCAGACAAGAACTGCAGTTATACTTAGGATATGGTATGCATTTTATCTACTTGTTTTGATACTAACTGGGAAAATTATATTTAGTAGATAAGTTACTTATCCCTTTTCCAATTTCAAATTGTCTATGGCACCAGGATTGTGCCATTAGAGATGCATACTATATTATTCTTGAAACTTTGAAAATCTGTAGAAGATTGTTATTAGCTTTAGTTGCTTACAGTATCTCAAGTACCTTCCAATATCCTATAAATAAGTGCAGGTGAATGTTATCTTGGGAACCTCTTTTATGAGTTTCTGATCCATGAAATGAATGATAAAATACAATTTTCTTTATACTGTATTAGATAATTTGTCCAGTCCACCTATTTGTTTTATTCTAACTCCACCTCTTTTTTGAACTGGGCAGACAGAATCTCTGCATTCTGGTTCTGTATCATTTGGCAGATTTGAAAATGAACCCTTAGCTTGGGAAAGAAGATCCTCTTTCTCACACAATAGATATCTTGAAGAAGTTGAGAAATTCTCAAAACCTGGTTCAGTTATTGAGAAGAAAGCTTATTTTGAAGCTCACTTTAGGAGGAAGGCACGTCTTCTCCAAGGTACATCTGAGGGCCAAAAATGGAGGTGAAGCTCAAACCTGTGAGAATGGTGTTGCTGCAAATGAGGGTTATGGAGAATATCAAACAGTTGAGAACCATTCTGCGGGGAACAAATCTTATGGAGAAGAATCTGATAGTTTAAGCAAAGATAGCTATTACAATCATTCTGATGAGAATGGTTTGGATCATGCAGATTATGGGGAAGATTTTTGTTGTGGGAATCAAGGAAGGCTATTTGATTATGAAAATGAAGGGAACCAGTCTGTTCGTGTGAATGAAGGTAGCCTTTGTGCTCATTCTGACAATAGTCCTGAAGATTCAGAATATCTTGGGGAGGGTGTATTGATTGAATGTGGAAGAGAATATCCTGAAGATTTATCCACTAATGAAACTCATGTTTTGGTTCCTGGGGATGTTAAACCTGAGGAGAGTCCTCAAAGTGAAATTGAATGTGATAAGCCACTTAGTAGAAGTGATAAACTAGAGAAAAATGTGGAGGAAAACCATGATGACGAAGCAATTAGCATTGATGAATCACTTAAGTCCAGGGATCCGTCTCCCATTGCTGGAACCACTGGAGAAGTTGATGCTGCTAAGTTAGGAATTCAACAAATCGATACTGCTAAGTTAGAAATTAAACAAAGTCATTCACCAAAGGTATGAGTTTATATTTATATTAGTTCTTGTTGGTTTCTGAAAAGTAGCATTCATTGCAGTAGCCAGAAACTTATTTCACATTGTTTTCTTATGTGATTACCTGCAATTTTTTGTCTTGAGTTTACGTACTTGTAGCTTATGCTTTTTGAACTTTTTTAATTCTAGTTGAAGACTACTATTGTACGAGCTACTAAACCAATGTTGAAGTCTCAAATGAGTGGTGATCATTCCCGGAAAAACATTTCTTCTGATCCTTCAAAAGTGGCTGCTAGGGTTCTAGAAAGAAAAGAAAAAAAGATCACAAGGAAAACAAAAGCAGAAAAACTACCATCACGAACTGCCACTCCAACTAGACTTCCAATGCACAGATCTCCAAAAAAAGAGGTGAAAGATTTGACTTTGACTTAAAAGTTAAATGACAACAACATCTGTATTACCTAATATTTGTTTTCTGTTAACCACTTTTATTAAGATTTCATATTGCTATTTGAATCCCCTTTTCCTTGGTCTTTCTTGTCCAGGACTTTGAGAGAGACAATGCTAACTTAAGCACCGAGCATAAAAGGTACTTCCTATTTCTTGCATTTGAAGAATATGTAAGTTTCTTTTGTAGGGACAGTTCAAATGATTATTTCATTCTTCTGACAGTATAAAAAGAGCAGTGACAAAGAATGTAATTGAAGCCCGACCTTCATTGAAAAAGATTGAACCTGTTGCTCACCAGACACCAAATAGGTATGTAGCAACAACGTGAGCACTGCTTTATGTCATAAAAAATTGAATTTTAACCTTAACGTATTCTTTTATTTAGGCTTAAGCAGACTGTCAATTCAACTCAGGCAGATGTAAAGTCAACTGCTGGGTCATTTCATTTCAAAAGTGATGAACGAGCTGAAAGGAGAAAAGAGGCAAGCGAGCATGCTTTCATTCTCAAACTTTTTTTTAAATTATTTTAGTTTAAGGATGAGCTTTAATGTCTTTATTAAAATGTTCAGTTCGTAATGAAATTGGAAGAGAAAATCCATGCCAAAGAGGCTGAGATGAATCAGATTCAAGCAAAAACACAGGTAAGGAAAGCATAAAATATTTGCTATTTACTATTCTAATGAAGATGAAATGGTATTCCTCTATGTTCTTCCTTCTTAGCATTTGAAATGAAGGGCCATGATGACATTTCTGGATTGGATGCTTTACTTTTCCTCTGTATGACAAAATTGATGGTTATTCTCTCGTGGTTGCTAACTTCATAAATAAATTGAATGCTTTGGTCTCATTGCAGGAGAAGACAGAGGCTGAAATTAAGCAATTGCGGAAAAGCCTTAATTTCAAAGCAAAACCCATGCCTTCTTTCTATCATGTTGACACAGCACCAGGGTCTAATGGAAACAAGGTACATTTGAAGCTAAACTATTGCTTTGATTTTATAATGCAGCTCATGTCTTCTATGTGATTAGTTCAAGGAAGCATGCCTTAATTTTTGCATTTCTAACTTGGAGGTTCTTACGGTGGCCCATATGTAATTATGTTCTAGCTAAAAGCTTTGGTGATTCACCGACTCTTCATTGTTTCTTTAATTTTCTTAAAAAGCATATAATATTTTGACATTCCATTTGGAACAATTTATTTAATTATATGAAGCAATAGTAATAAAAGATAATATTTATATTTTGTTCTTTGCACAGTTGTTATAGGGTTTTAGATCTTTGTTAACTTTTTTCTTCAATTCTACTGCATTTTTTCATGTTGGCTTTATTAGAATTCCTTGATCTGAAGAAAATTCTTATAAGATATGAGAGAACCTGAAATGAGTTGCACCATCCAAAGGATGCAGTCAAGGAAGGGAATTCTTATAATGGTTGATGACATAAAATTTATTATACGTAATTTTAGGCCAGCTCCATGGAAGATGCATAGTTTGCCTTAGCTCTGATAGGAAGTTGAACTTGTATGCCTTATCATGAACCTGTTTATATTTTGCTACTTTTTCATGTGATTAGTCCTATGATAATCTAAATCACTTATTTCATATTTTTGTTCCATTTGTCAATAGATTTTAACACTGGCTTTCTTCTATTTCGTTCTCAGGCTGCAGCATCTACTAAGAAACCAGCTAAAGTAGGACCAAAATCAGCTAATGCAGGGGTGGGATCAACTGCAAGGTCATCGTCTCTCTCCTGCGAAGCAAATAAAGAGGTCCTTGCTGGTGGTGGATTTGGAGTTGAGTCAAATTTTTATACAATTGAGTCATCATCTCAATCTGGCATCATATCCTCGACTCCACCAACTGGTAGTCATGGCTCCCCAGCATCTGTCACACAAAACAGTATCCTTTCGAAGAAAGAGAGAGGGAAAGAGAGCAATAATTTGCCAAAATATAGAATATCAGAGAATGGTAAGGTTGTAAAAGATCATAAGAATGGTGGCATGCCAAAAGTGGGAGCCCAGAGAAATAGCCGAGAGGTTATGAGGAAGAATAACATAAGTGCTGGAATTGCCAATGCCAGTGGTTCTGGTATGGGTTGTTTGGCAATTGTAGCTTCCTGAAATGATCAGCCATGGTGTCTCATCTTCACCCATTTTTCTTTCCCATTTAGGCTGGGTAGCCGACACAAGTATATTCGAATTATCTAATTCATGTCTTGCCTTCAATGCACATCGACTTTATACCGTACCAGGAATGTGATGGTGCCTGGTTTACATCGAAAACCAGATTCCCTGCGAGGGAAATAGCAGAATGGCAGGGCCGGTAATAGATTGTCGAGAGTAGTGTTTCAAAAAAATACTCGAAACAACTTAAATTATGGTGTCTCTGTTGTTGTAGCCCTTACCTACCACCTCTGCCAACATATTCCTCGCTAGAGAGATGAGATTTGAGGCAAGTGGTTCACTATTATCAGGTTAGAAACTCATTTCTTTTCCTTTTTTACCCTTTCAAATGGCAATGAATAGCATTTGAAGCCATGACCTTTGGCAGAAAGCAAGATGAAGGCAGATAAACAGAAAGCCTGAAAATATCTGAATTGCTCCATTTTGCCCCGGTTGTTCAGAGTTTTTAATACAAAGGGGAAATGCTTCCTTTACGCACCAATTGCTCTTTTAGCGTTATTAAGAAATACAAAATCAATCGTAGATGGTTAAAATTATGTTTTTAAGCTGTGAGACGGTTTATCAAACGTCCTTTTCGTCTGTAGATTGAGCATATGAAGAGAAATTTAGTGGCAAAAAGGAGTAAAACCAGGTTAAGGTGAACGACTTTTATTAAAGAATACTTGGAAATTTTCCATCATCATTTAAACTTGCGTTATCATCCACTGTGAAATCAAACCGAAATAGGCGAGGCATTTAATTAACTATAAAACGTACTTAAAATCATCTCATCTTTACTAAACAAAAGAGTTGGGGGGGGGGGGGGGAAGAAGTGCGTGTACTACCTGGACTCCTCGTTGTTTCCAAACCATCCTGATTCCTTTTCTAGTTACTCCCATAACCCTGGTTTGATATTAAATACTTACACAAAAACTGTTCTTTTTTACTTTTAGAGAAGCTAGTAATTCCCTAAACTAGAAAATAATAACTAGAATGATAAATACAAGAAAATTGGAGGTAGCAGTGATGATGAACCTTGATTTCCCTGGTCTAACCGCTGTTCCCGATGTCTGATCATCTGTTCGGTGTGGAGGTCTTCTATAGTAGAATGGGAAATAAGGCAAGATAGGGTCAGGAGGTGGCTGACCGTAGAAAGAACTGCCACCATAAGGTGGTGGTTGTGTGTAATATGGTAAGTTCCCTGTAGGTGGAGGGTATACCGCTCCTGATTGCGAAGGCGGTGAATAACTAGCCGGAGGTGTTTGAGTGACTATGCCACCTCCGCCGCTGCTTCCTCCTCCTCCGGGACCTGTTGGTGGTGGGTAACATGGATAAGGACATGGGCTATCTTGCTTGGTTTGAATAAAGAAGCTGAAGAAGAAGAAGAAGGTAGGGAGAGCTTTGATAAGTACTGTATTGGCCATGTTATAGAAACCAAAAATAGAGGGATGGAAAGAGAATTCTCAAAGTTGGATATAAAGAGCCAATGAAGGAAATTAAAGGATTGAAAAGTAAGCTCTAGCTGCCTAGTGTCCTTTGTGTTCAAGTTGATGAAACAGATACCACCTTTTACTGCTCAAAAGCAAGGGGAGGGGGCGGAAATGTCACATTTCTGGACCCCATACCACTTCGAAACTTTGCATTGAAGAATTCATTATGAGCAATGAGTTGTTTCCAAGAAAGGGTTGCTGAGGATTGCTTTGCTTGTAGGAGAGATGGAATTTTTTGGTTCCAAATCCACAAGAAACTGAAACAGGGGGGCCTCTGTTTTTCACATGAGCTTCAGGATTCCATTTGTTTCGGTTTTCTTTGTAAATGTTTCTAAATTCGATGAAAGTGGATTGATCATTCTGTTTCTCTGAATATTCTAAATTCCATGAAATTTGACACATTTTAAGGTAGGATTTTTCATGCACTGATTGGAATTTGTGTCAAATATTCAAAAGCAAACTGCACTTTTTGAAGAGCTCAATAAAGTTGAGTCCAGCTTTTGATGGCATGATAATAGAACAGAGGAGATTAGTTGATGATGTGTGAAAATTATGATCTGTTTTTAGGATCCAATACCCCCAAAAATAATGCTTTGGAAGCATGAATCAACCTCTCACGTCCCTATGTATTTCAAATCAATACATTAAATATAAATAATTATATAAAAAACACTATGCATCATTTCATTGACATATTAAATTTATTTTATTTATTTATTATGTTTAAGGGTTAATAGTATTTTTAATTGGCCCAATAAATTTGGTCACACAAATACCAACCCTAGGAGGCTAAACCTAATCTTGTTAGAGGCAAAGAGAAGTGAAATTGGGGACTGTGTTTTTTTAGAGGGTAGGTGGATCAGTGAATTTGATTTCTTTTCCTTATGATTTGAGAGTTTCGCCAGATTAATTCAGATCGATTTACGTCGTACGTTAGTGATTTTGATTTTTTTAGTGCAATTTTAAGCACCTTGTTTTGGCGTGTGGTGCGGTTGTTGACTCCATTATTGATTCCAAACTCCATTATTGACTACATTATTTATTATTTTAATTTATTTGTGGATTGTTATTTTAGAGTTTAATATTTAAAAATATTTCATATACACTTTTGATAAATTTTTTATTAAATTTATTAATTTATGTTTATATTAAGTTCTATATAGTATCATTATATTTTACCTATAATTAAAAAAAATAAAGTTTAATTTAGTGGCCGCATTTGCTTGAAAGAATCCTAAATTTCCAAACGCATACCAAACCTTGAAGCTCAATCAAACCCTCCCCTATTATTTTAGGCATCACTTTAGTTTTGTTAGGGATTCATATCATCCACTTATGTTGATTAATATTATTCAATTTTATATTAATTTAAAATAATTAGATGAATATGAATAAATAAATAATTTTTTACATATAAAAAAAACTCATTTTAAATTATGTATTTCGACAATATATCACGAGAGAATATGCTTCAACTTTAAAATTATACTCACTCAAATATTTGAGATTCAATGAAAACTTCGAGAATTTTGAAGGCAAATTTGAGTTTTATCATTGATGAATTTTTGTTTTTTTAGTTATGTTTATATTTATTATAGTTTAAATTAAGAGTTAAGTACATGAATGATTACTTTCGTTTATGTTTTGTTCACTTTTCTCACTGATTTCAAAATACATAATATTTGACCACTTTCGATTTTATTTAATTAAGATGTGACAATTTTTGTTTTTATTTAATGAAGATGTAGTCACTAAGGATTAATTGTCGTTAGATTTTTAATGAACTATTGATGTGTAATATATAAAATTAGAAATGATAAACTACACAAATGGTCACTAATATTTTAGTAAATTTTTGTTTCCCCGTTGAAATTTCAAAATTAGCAAATTGGTAATTAAATCATCAAATTGCTCCTTATGATTCTTCTATATATCTCTCCATCATCTATTAACCCAAAAAAGTGGCTAGTGGCAATATAAGTTTGGTGAAGTATTTCATACTAATGAAGACTAGAATTCAAGGGTGGGAAAATTCGAGAAATTTTCAATCCAAAGGTGTATTTTCTTTCTTTATTTTTCATGGATTTTATTTTTCTAGGCATTCTTCGACTCTTAATGGGCAGTGTGGAGTAAGGGGATGAAAAAACCGCTTAGGGGAACATATATCACAAAATGGTATCAACCAAATTGTTATTTTAAAAACTTCAGTAGAAAAATAAAAATTTATTCAAATATTAGAGATCATTTGTGTGATTTACCCTTTCTAATTTTATATATTTACTATGACACATCAACAATCCGTTAAAATTATAAAAACGACTAACCCTCCGTGACTACATCCTAATCATATAAAAATTAAAGTAACCATATATTATGTTTTTTTTGAAATCAGTGAGGAAAAGTGGACAAAACATAAACGAAAATGATAAATCATGTAGTTAACTCTTAAATTAATTAAAATATTGATATTGTTAAATACTATATGTCATAATCGGATTCGTTATAAAAACATCATATTAAATTAAAGATAATTATCGAAATGCACAAATCAAATTATCTCAATGGTTAAAGAAATGATTGTTATTTCTAGAGGTCCTAGATGGGTAGATTCGAGCACCAGCGACTACAACAGAAGTGATTGAATGTTCATTGTCAAATAATTAAGATTATTTAGAATTAATATTATTTTGTGAATACCCTAACTTAATAATAATAAAAAAAGGTAATTATCAAAATGAGATAACAATCTATATAATATGCCAAAAACCCTTTTTCATTTGGTCCCTATCTTAATGACAAAACTCAAAAAGAGGATTGAAACGTGGCCTTTGTTATCCTTACAAAAAGAATAATTTGTTTACTAAATTTTTTTTTTTTGAAAGAATACTAAATTTGAAACTAAGCTTTGGGAATTTGGCAAAAGAAGAGTAGAGCCACCACATCTTCAATAGGCAATAGCAACACTTATCCTTCAATTCTCTTAGCTAATCGATTACTCGTTCATGGGTTGTCAAACATAAATCTATTTTTTGAAATTTCAATAGCAATCTATTAATTTCCATATAACAATTGTGAATATTTAAAGCTAAAATTATTATTCTTAATTTCTTATATAAAAAGTGTGATTGAGTCAAGAGTTGAATGAAAAAAATTGGGTTGATGAAATTTTTAAATATTATTTTATCAGTAAAATTTTATTTAAAATTTATGTGGATGAACCAAGCTCTGAAAATGTGGGATCCATGAGTTGGTGATGAAATCGAGGTTGATCTCATCTGACACATTTCATATCGTCAGAATCTCATTTTCAACGGGAAACGACGGTGCTAGGCGGAGACGCCGCCTGTTCCCCATCACCTCCGCCACTTTCCCACCTCTGTTCTTTAACAAACCTTATGTTTCACGAAGAAAAAGGAAATACCAACTGAAAATCAGGTCAATATGTTGAGTAAAAAAGAAATTCTAAATTGTTTATTATTGATTTGATCAATATCAATATACAACAAGATCCTTGGTAATCCCAACTCAAACGGCACGAAAAACCAATAATCCACATACCAAACCCAGTAATCCCACTTCAAATTTTCTGCTTGCAGGACTATAAGTTTAGTCAATAGGGTACAGGTTCCCTGGTGGACCAGTTATGTATATGAAGGATGGTAGAGCAGGCGGCGGCGGACAGTATTGGGTTGGCGGCTTCTTCGGTGTAGGCGGGGTCAACACGGGCGGTGACGGTGGTGGAGTGTTATGTTTGGCTTGAAATTAAATTTGATAAGTTGAAAAATTCATCTTGGTTGGTGGCCAACTTATTGCAAAATTCATCTTTGGTAGGTGGTCAACTTTGTACATGGGAATTTCATCTTTGGTCCCTAAAATATTAGGTTATTTATAAGTTTAGTCCTTAAAACTCAACTATAAATAGGCCTAAGTATTTCATTAGAAATCATCCCAAAAACAAGTTCTCTCTTCCTGTTATTTTCTTCGTTCTCTCACTTTGGGAACTCTAAAGAATTCCATTTGTTGTAATATTTGTTAATAGTGAAGTTATCATCCGGTGTGGTGTCCGAGGAGTAGACGATATTGTAACACCCCAACCCGTACCCAACCCGAATACGAGTCCGAGATGTCACATTGACTTTTAATAACGATATTTTTACAAAATATCATAACATTTGAACTCATTTTAAGAAAATACGATCATATATTGTTGAATTGTGTTTGTTATAAAATTTTTAGTCAAAAACGTATTTATGAACAGTAAAATACGGTATGAACAGATATATTTGTTGAATTGTGTTTGTTATAAAATTTTTAGTCAAAAACGTATTTATGAACAGTAAAATATGGTATGAACAGTGTCGTATGAACATGATGAACAATACCATGAACATTACTGCTACAGTACCGAATGTTAAAATTTTCCAGATTACAAATAGGGTACCGATACCCTGCTACAGTGTACCGATACCCTGCTACAGTGCTGCTACAGTACTGCTACAGTACTTCCGTAAAATACATATAAATTCATAAAATTGAAAACGTTCGTCTTCTTTCATTTACCATTTACAAATATACATTTAAAACGTTACCAAAATTCAATCATATGATTTTACAAAACCGATTAAAATATATCGGATTCAAATCTTTTATATTACATGCCAACTAAATTCTATATAACCAAATACATGAAATTCAACTACATTTCTGATCTGATATTCGGTAAGGAGAACTAACCTGTCTTGTTTCTCTTTACTTCTCTTTTCGCTTTCCAAACCTACGAGTGAAACAATCACATGCTGAGTCAATGACTTAGTGAGGCATATAAAACATATAATGTAACCATATACCATTTCATATAAACAAACGACATACATCTGCAAATACTATCATTAATCACTTTTACTTACCATATATTCATCATATAACACATATATCACTATACCAAGGAATAAACATATCATCATGTAATTTCTATAACATATTTCTTATAATTCATGC